CCCCCCCCCCATTTGTCTTTCTCCTGGCCTTTGTAGCTACGTCGAAATCCGCCAGGACATCGCAAGAGCTATCCGTCAATGAATTTTTGCTCTTCTCAATGGTGTCCATGACCATTGCCGAGGAGGCTTGGCTGAACGGACGCGGAAGTTCTCCCACCCGACTTTGCCGATCACCGGCATGGGGAATCTCGGTCCGAGATGGACTTGTCAACTCGGAATGTTGACGCTATCACTAGATGCTTCATCTTAACCCGCACCGCCATACATAACTCATCTCCCCCGCCGGCACTCTGCTCGGCACGTCCTTTGACGAGCCGCGTTGCCGCGTGCCCATTGCCGACAATTGATCTACCGGAATTCCGCAGCATAAAAGGCCTAGGTTGCGCCAGGCTCTTCAAAATGCATCGCCCTCTTGCTGCCAGACAAGCCACCAAACAAATTGAATACCAGACACCACACCAGACCATATAATGCCTCTCTACGAAGTCCACCACTCCCACGCATTGACAGAGTCGCAGCGTGCCGAGCTCGCCGGGGCGATAACACGACTTCACGCTACAACGTTTACCACGCCGTCGATATTTGTTCACGTACGCTTTATTCATGAAGATCCGAGCGATGGGAGCTATTTCATCGCCGGCACGCCACGACACACCAGCTTGAACAGTATTATCGCGCACGTCCGCACGTCCCCGGCGCGCACCAAGGCCGACTTTGACCAGCTCGCACAGCGCATCGAGGAGGCGTGGTATCATGCGTTGGGGGTTGGTCCGGCCAGCAGCGACGAGTTGGTCCCATCTGGAGCTGGGGAGAAGAAGCTCATTGCCGTCGCATTCTTTCCCATGTTGACGGCTCGAGAGCTTGGTCTGACGATACCAGAGGCAGGAAAGGAGGTCGAGTGGTTCAAGGAGCAACTTCCTCTTATTAAAAAGACGGCTGATTCCCAAGGAGGGGACTTTGCTGATATGCTGAATGAGTTTAAGGAGCGAGAGGACCTGCGCAAGTTGCTGGTTTAGTTGTACTTGGAAAGAAGGTTGATTGAGTGGATGGCGCCGCGGCAAATCGCGGTGCAAAGAGAAGCTTCTGTATTCGGAATGGCTTGAGATATATTGTCTATTCAGTCACTGTTATTTAAATTGGCCTCGTGTCGCTAATTCACTCGTGCTATACATGGAGGAGAGGGTTGGAATTTGTAAATGGATGTGTAGCCCGTTGCGTTGAGATGAATGTTGGGAATCTGCGAGGAATAATAATGGGAATTGATTCAAAAACCTCTTACAGCCTGGTAGTAAGTTATACTAAAGAATGCCATTTCCAAGCAGGCAAATTGTTATCAACTCAACAGTGGGATGGGAGAAGAAAAACCCTCTGAGATTTCGTCACAGAAATACAGCATCATGTCTGGTCCAATTTAGTCACAGACAGTTGGAATTCTTCATAGCTTATTCACATCTTCATTCCCTTTCCCATGTTAAGGTGAATAATAATTAAAACCCCACCTTTATTTCATACCCATCAGAGACTTTTGTCGTCGAAAAGTCAACCTTGCCCACGCAATCCCCATACTCGTACGGCTCGCCTACAACGCCGTTTCCAGCACCAGGCGTCTTAGACACGGGGTTGTAAAAGGTGGCCTCCGTCTTGGGCAACTTCGCACACGGCTGCGTACCGCGATAGTATTCCACAAAGCCAGAGTAGCTAGACTCGATACCGCCGGCGCCCGAGGGCAACTTCCAGCTTCCAACGCGGGTTTGCGCTCCGGTGGCTGTATTGATAACAGTCCCAGTCCACGTCGTGGTGCCGGGGATATTCTCAACGGCCAAGTTGTAGGTATCCCTGTAATCACCATTGATCTCAACAGCACAGCTTACACCGGGACCATTATCGGCACCATCGTGACAGTTGGCATCGCTGGTCGTAGTGCCATTCTGAAAGGAGGAGAAGACGGCGTGTACAATGCTTTCACCATTAGAGTTGGGTCTATTCTGGATCCCGCAGTAGCCAATATCCTTCATATTCTGAAAGGCAAATTGCTCGGCAAAGTAGTACCCAGAGTCGTGGGACGCTCCGGCCATGTTGAATGGGAACGTAACATCTCGTAAGCCACCCGAGGGATGACCTGAAAAAGACCAGTTATTGCCCACAAGGGCGAACCCGAGGTGGGGAGCAAATACGGTGATTGCGGTAAGAGAGTACTTCATCATGACGGTGGTGAAAAGTTTAGATGATTGTTATTGGAAGAAGATGGCTCTGTGTAGTTTGCTGGCCAAGGAACGGGCCGCTTTAGGTCGGATAAGCTGTCCTTTTATACTCGTACCTGCCAATATCTCACCGAGCTGCCAGGACAATCGGATTGGCTTTTCAAGGCAACCAGCGCTGCTCTTGGAAAAGTTCGGCATCTCGGCAGACTCAATATCCATGATGTCATGGTGTGTTACTCCAAGCCGAAACGTTGCATGAATATTACGTGTGCCACGTGTTGGGAACCCCAATTGGCATACTAAATGCCAATATAATACCAATATAACGACTTTGTACAACGGTTAGTTATATCCAACTACCTGATGTAGATTCTGGGTTGCACAGAAGTGCTCGTGCGTAGAGTTCCAGCCCGTTCTCGCGGGAACATTGAACGGCAGGACTTTTCGCTCCGCCAAGAGATCTACACAATAGCGCATGGTGAGCAATGCTACGTTGCGCATGGCCTACTCGCTTGGTGAGTGTCTAGTTGTAGAGCTATGCTGTAGGTAATTGGGTAACGATTGTCTCTGCTTCATGAATACGAGCACTGAGTTGCTTCCATGCTGGCGTTGGGGTTTACAAAGACACTGCTTCTTGAACTGTGACGGCCCAGTCCGTTAATTGACCAGTTGATCTTTCCCAGCAGGCCACTTGAGTGCCATTACATGTACGCAAGGAGATGTCTTCATTACTCTTGCAACAGATGGCAAGGGAATAGTCATCTCGGAGCCAGCCCTTTGGGGGTCTTGTGCGCTACCCGAACGGTTCTTCAACAAGCTGCCTTCTCAAATAACGCTGTCCCAGTCGGCACTGGTCTTGATGCGCCTGGCTGGGCGGAACAATCGATATTGCGCGACGGTTCTATCCCGTGGAACTCGCCGTAGACATGTGTTCGTACATGTCTTTTGTCAAGCAAAATACCTTTCAGCTCCATCTTGGTGACCAACCGGTTCTCCCTCGATATACACCAGATAATGTCCGTGACCCTGCGCTGACAGACAAACAATGTGGTGGAAGCTTAACCGAGCAGCAGTTTGGCGAAGTGTTCCCCAAGTTTTACCCGTTTATCACAGCACAAGATCTAGAGCGCAGAATCCCCTCTAACGATGCTACTACTTTCAAGTACGACTTCAGCAAGCAATCGTCAAACTCTGTTACAAATCTCTCGCCAAACGAGTATCATGGCTACACCACATGTGCGTCGTCGGGCTCGTCCTTTGTCATTCCACCGAGCTGTTTAGTTGTGAGCCCGCGATGCAC